TGTGGAGCTTGCAGTGCTCCCTTACCTGGCCACACCCTCCTGTGACCTGACCCACACCTCCCTACTATTTTGCATCCTCTATGCTTTTACTACCACCTAGTCTTATAGGATCCTGTCTCGCCTTGATCTATACATTACCAATTGCTATTCCTTATTGAGTACTTGATCACCTATTCTTTATCGTACTAGGAGAGTTGGACCATTCACAATCAGCTTGGGGATTAATTGGAAACCAAAACCCACACCCAACAACCACACAAAGGTGAATACTTGCAATGCAGCCTGTACCAGCCTGTAGATTGTCCAGCTCAATGAGATGTCCTGGAGTATATCCACCTCTGTTTCTTCTCAACATATAATGTACCCTATTCACTGTATTTCTTTCACTGGTCACACATTTGTTTCACTTTATTATCTTTCTTGGGAGACATGTGGCAACATTGCCTGGAGCACACTAGGCCTGCCCACTCTGAATGTGCCACCAAGTACCACTTTCTAGTTCACTTATAAAGTTGTGGCTCTCCCCACACTTATGTGTCTCAGGGCAAATTGTAAATTGCTTCAAGGATTGTTCACTTCCCTGTCACACTTAGCGACCCTTGCAGTACACTTGGATAGCCCTCAAAAGCACTTACATTCGCGGAGCACGGAAGACGTAACTCGTGCACGTGGTTGTGTGTGTGTGTGTGTGTAAGTTGGTGTGGGCAGTAATGAGTGTAGTGGGTGGCCACATGTGGGTTGTAAAAGCATGAGTAAGGTGTGAGAGTGGGGCTGTGTGTGCTTGGTGATGTAGGAGAGTAGTGCAAGTGAAAGATGTAGTTGTCAGTGGCCCAGTGAGGGTGATGAGTGGATGGGCGATTGGGTGGATGGTGATTGGATGGGTGATTGGGTGGGTGTTGATTGTATGATGGGTGTCTGGTTGGGTAGTGATTGTATGATGGGCAACTGGGTGGGTGAAAGTGTGGTTGGTGGTGTAGGCAGTGATAAGGGCAGTGGATGACTTAACTTGGCCACGGGGGTGTTTACCTTGAGTTTACCTGGAGAGGGTTTCAGGGGTCAACACCCCCGCAGCCTAGCCTGAGACCAGGTCTCATGGTGGATCAGGGTCTGATCAACCAGGCTGTTACTGCTGGCCGCAAGCAAGCTGACGTACGAACCACATCCCGGTTGGTCAGGTACTGACTTTAGATGCCTCTCCAGTACCTTCTTGAAGACAGCCAGGGGTCTATTGGTAATCTCCCTTATGTATGCTGGGAGACAATTAAACAGTCTTGGGGTCCCGGACACTTATTGTGTTGTCTTTCAGTGTACTCATGGCGCCCCTGCTTTTCATCAGGGGAATATTTATCTCCTGCCGAGTCTTTTGCTTTCATAGGGAGTGATTTTTGTGTGCAGGTTTGGTACTAATTCCTCCAGGACCTTCCAAGTGTATATTATCATGTATCTCTCTTGCCTGTGTTCGAGGGAATACAGATCAAGGTCCTTCATCTGTTTCCAGTAGTTTAGGTGCCTTATCATACTTATGTGTGCTGTGAAAGTTCTTTGTACACTCTCCAGGTCTGCAGTGTCACCAGCCTTGAAGGGGGTCGTTAGTGTACAGCAGTATTCCAGCCTAGAGAGCACAAGTGATTTGAAGAGAATCGTCATGGACTTGGCATCCATAGTTTTGAAGGTTCTCATTATCCATCCTGTCATTTTCCTAGTGGATGAGGTAGATACATTGTTGTGGTCTTTGAAGGCAAGATCCTTTGACATTATCACTCCCAGGTCCTTCACATTACTTTTCTGCTCTATTGTGGGGCTGGAAAAGGTGTGGGCTTCAGGTGGTGGGGCTGGGCAAGGTGTGGGCCTCAGGTAGTTGAGCTGGGGGAGGTGTGGGCCTCAGGTAGTGGGGCTGAGCAAAATTAAGGAGAAGAGTTGTGGAACACCTAGAAAGGAATGATCTCATCAACAGCAGCCAACATGGTTTCAGGGATGGGAAATCCTGTGTTACAAACCTACTGGAGTTCTATGACATGGTGACAGCAGTAAGACAAGAGAGAGAGAGATTGGTGGATTGCATATTCTTGGACTGCAAGAAAGCATTTGACACAGTTCCACACAAGAGATTGGTGCAAAAACTGGAGGACCAAGCAGGGATAACAGGGAAGGCACTACAATGGATCAGGGAATACTTGTCAGGAAGACAGCAGCGAGTCATGGTACATGGCGAGGTGTCAGATTGGGCACCTGTGACCAGCGGGGTCCCACAGGGGTCAGTCCTAGGACCAGTGCTGTTTCTGGTATTTGTGAACGACAAGACGGAAGGAATAGACTCTGAGGTGTCCCTGTTTGCAGATGACGTGAAGTTGATGAGAAGAGTTCATTCGATCGAAGACCAGGCAGAAATACAAAGGGATCTGGACAGGCTGCAGACCTGGTCCAGCAACTGGCTCCTGGAGTTCAATCCCACCAAGTGCAAAGTCATGAGGATTGGGGAAGGGCAAAGAAGACCGCAGTT